TCAGGCTCCCCAGCACTAAACTTAACTCCAGGGCTTTTTGTAATTTCAGAAGGTGGATAATGTGTGCACCAGTAATCACTCACTGAGTATTTTTTAATTGAACAATACACGAATTCTCATTTACAATAAGACTGCCTTACATCACCAGATGTAGCAGTCTTAATGCTACTGATGTAGCAGCCTTAATGTAAATAAATTTGGCATGTGCTGGCATAGATTTACATTCAGCATTGTAATGTATAGCGCTGAAGTGCTGAGTGAAATGGTCAGCAGCTCCAGTATTTATGACAAGAGAGTGAATCCAATTCTCCACTGGATAAATGAGTATCACTGTGGACAGGTTGCAAGAAATGCAGAGTTTGCTCTCCTATTGTTCTGTGTGTGCTCTGTAAATAAGAAAAGCACTGTGTGCATATGGATTTTCTTTTATCTTGGCATTTCCTGCTGTTTCACAATTATTAGCTATTTAGGTGTTACAGTGCCTTGTCAGAAAGTTAAGGGACATATCAGAATTACTTCAGCTATTAGAATGCAGCAACAGCTCAAATGGAGTCTTATGTGTGCTAATGCAGATACACACAACATATTTTAGGGGACTGAAATAATGTTTTTAAAAAGGTCCTGTTCCAACTGAAACGGCAGCAAGGACAGTAACATTTAATCAGTTGAAATCTGATGAGAATACAGGGTTAACACTTGTGCTCCTGCAGAGATTGCCATAACATCCTGAATTCTTCAGGTTGTCAGAACTTCTGTTTTATTGCATGTTCAAAAAGACAGACCCTCCAGTACCATGGTGCCCCCTAAAACTACGTAAGGACATAGATTTTAAAGGAAGCGAGCTTCCTGCTCTCTCTGCTTCCTTCAGCAGATAATTCTTTGAAATCTTTAGGTCTTCATTTGAGATTAGTAATAGGATCACAGCTCATGATATGGCTCATAATGCAAAGTGCTCATTTAGAAGACTTTTACTGTTTTTTAATCCACAGTTTTAGCCTGTAATGTTCAGAATACAGTTTAGCTGTATTTACTGTAGTTTCAAAGTTGTTGCCTCCTGTGCTTTCTGTTTGATAAGCAAATGGGTTGTTGTATTAGGTTTTCTGCTATACAAAATACTTACTGGGAAGGTTCTAAATTGCAGTGTGAGTAAAATTGCACTTGTTTTTCACCTGGGAAGCCTTAGCTTGTATTCAAGTTCATCACTACTGCAGCAAGTCAGGCAGTGCCTCACAACACCCTCAGCAGGGTCTGGCCTTGTGCCCAAAGAGGAGCATTTACTTGTCTAGCCAGGAATTGTTGCAGATGCACATTGAAATGCTTTTATGAAAATAAAGGAAATGGCCTTTAGAAAGCCTGTGCTCTCAGTGGCTTTCAGAGCAATGCAACATGGGTTTCGTTTATATTTACAATTGGCTATAAGCCTCTGGAAAAGGCTGAATTCTTTCTGAACAGTGTCCAGGGCAGGAGATATTCTGTCATTAGCTTTGTTGATATAAAGGCTGTGTCCATTAAGGTAAGAAAATTGAATAAGGCCTTTTATGAAGCAGTGGCTAACCATTTCCATGATCAGAGAAAAAGCCATTTTGTGAAACAGTGGCTAAGAGTTTCCATGATCAGAGAAATGTGTCTTATATGTACATTTTGCTTGATGGATACGTAATTATTTTATTTAATGCTCAAAGTATTTGTTCACCATGATCATAACTGGAATGTTCAAGCTTAGAGAGAGAGAGAGAGAGAGAGAGAGAATCAAGCTGGCATAAGTGGACTGCAACCTCAGCCTCAGAGAGTGGGCAGAGGGAGATTAGCAGGAAGAGTTAATGAGGCTGAAGCACCCTGATAATATCACCCAGTGCATCAAATACAGTCCCTTAGTGAGGGAGAGCCAAGGGATGTGCAGCTTTCTGCCCCTCTTCCTGGCAATTCTGTTCAGGCTGGAGTTAGACCAGCTGTGCTGAGCAAGAGTTTGGCATCACATGTCAGTCCTTTAGGAACCATGTCCCGCTGAATTTGTTTGTGTACACAGGAGAAGTGAGGTTGTTAACTGGAAAATTTGATCTTCTGCAACAAGCACATCCTTAGTATGACCCTTTGAATGTAGTGAAGATGAACCAGGGTACTTAAACAAGTAAAAATTGGGAAAAAAAACCCTGGTGAATATCTAGCTCATCTTTACCCTCATGGAAGAGTTTCTGGCATTACTATTACAGCTTCTTAATGTTTTTCTAGCACCTAAATTACAATTAGGACAAATTTAGGATTTCCTTTTATTTTTGTGAGTTATTTCTTGCTCAAAGAAAGGCACCAAGAATCCAAATCTTAGCAGTAAAAAGTTCGATTCCCTGACAGTTTAATGGCCTTGTACTAAAATTAACTGATGACCTTGAGTCTCTAAAGGATTTAAGGAGTAATTTAGTAAGTACATAGTTACACCAAGCACTGAAAATACACTTGCTACCAATTTTCTGTATGTGTAATACACTACTGGGTCACTCCTCTGTGTGTGTCTTTGACCCTTATCTATAATAATATATTCCTGGAGAGAAAACTTGAAGTATTTCATGGTACATTATTACTGCTCAGAAAACTCTTCTAATTTTCATGCTGATAGAGATATTAACATAGAAAAATTAGACATATCCTTTTGTCTGAACGGCACTTGAAAATCTGTGTTGTGACTACAGTTGACTGAAGCTCAATTACTTTAATAAACTTATTCCAAATTTCATCTTGATTACATTTGCATTTTAATGAACGATTCTCGCCTACTTGTCAAATAGGCAGCACAGCTAAATTTATTAAGTTATTGTATAAACAGGGTATTGTGATGCCAGAATTTAAATGGAGAAACATTTGATGTCACATTCTGGTAACATGTTATAAATCTACAGTGTAGAAAAGTATGTTGGTTACCTCTGTACTTTAAGTTTGGATTTATTTTACTGGTTTTCTTTGAAGAGTCCATCAACCTTAAGGGTCATTCATAAACATGCCAGAAAGAATTCTGTGGAATTATGACAGGGCGGGGGGTTTTTGCTTTAAATTGGATAGTTATTACAGCTCTTTCATACGCTGCATTTCTCTTAAATGTTCTATTATATATTTATTTTTCTGTATTTGAGAAGCAGGGGGGGAGTAAACTGCTCCCCTTGACAACAAGTGAATTTGGTGCCTGACATTTGCACCCTGTATGACCTTTGGGTGCTTTAACATGTCTAGTAAGAAAAGGGAGTTGTTACTTGCCAGTAAAACAAATGAGGCCCAGCTTTCAAGCCTGGGTTGTGTTTGAAAGAATCAATACAGTCTGATGACACTTAATTCAAAAGTCAGCAGCACATTAACAAAAAGGGGGGTGTCCTGTGGAACAGGGATAGGATATTCCTTGAGTTTGGATGAGCTGCTATGTTCTTGCTAACGTTTTAATCAGGAGCTGCAGAATACCTGTGTGCCATGCCCCCTTTCACTGCCCTACCTCACCTTTGCTTTTTCTGTTATTTCATTTAACCTCAGTGGTCACCCTGCAGGCAGTGCATTACAGTTTCCTCTTTATTTTCTTCTCTTGCAGTAATACCTTGCCTGTTCTTGCACTGGCACCTTCCTTGTTCTCCAAGGAGAAAAGAAGGAGCCTGGTGAGCTTGTGCCATGTGTTTTTTCCCTCAATGGGATCACAGCATTAAGAATAAAAAAGAATTGTATTTAGCAGAATTGGCTTGGCTTGCAGAGTGATTTCTTCGCTACTCCACACCTATTACTACTTTCTTCAGATTTTCTCTCCATCTGATCATTGCATTGTCTTCAGTCCTTTGGCTCCTGCTGCTCTTCTCAGTGCACCTCCACTGCCTGTTGTAACACTGTAGTTGTCTTCCATGTATCAGCCCTCACTGTGTGATGCTTAAATCCTTGCTCAGCAGGACAGAGCAGCTCCTCTAGAGGTTACACACCTTGGAGCCTCAGTGCATTAAAAGCTCATCCATCTCTAACAGTCTTTTCTCATCAGTTTGCTGTGGATTTATCACTCCCAGGTACCACCTTCCTCTCATGAACCGACCCTCAACTTGGAAAACTGTCTCCAGAGTAATGTAAGATGCCATCACACTCCAGTCACAAAGTGCAACAACAATGTTATAACCATTAATAAAAGGTAAGAAATAAAATCTTTCCTCCGAATACAACACCTAGACCAAAAATCAAACACATGGCACAGGCTGAGTAATTCTGAACAGGAAAGTATCATTTACTGGAGTGACATTAAATGTCCATTCTATATGGTCACTAACTGAACAGCTAGAAAAGGTGGGAAAGGAATAAAGTATTCCTGAGAGATAGTGTTATGGAAGGAGAAAACAGGCCAAACAGGCTTGGGGCAGTGAAGAAACAAAACCCACAGCCTGTAAAAAGCTGTTTTCTGTTTGCCCAGCACTCAAGACTCTTCTCATCAGGGTGAATCTTTTCAACTTACTCTATTATTTTCTGTGCACAAAATATGTTAACCCAGGAAAAACTAAACAGACTTTGAGGCATGTCTTGAAACTTTGGCCTTGTATTTATAGTCTTACTACCTCCATTGGCATGATTCCAGCAAAAAACAAGTAAAATGGAATGCAAGCAATGCGTCAGCATCTTTTCTCAAACAAATCAGTCACATTATTTCCTTTGCCTCCAAGTTTGATTTGACATAAATGCATAATTGCTAATAATAAGCAGTAGTATAAATGTGTGAATACAAATAATACTGTGTTTATAATTTATAAAGTACTATAAGCATATTATAAATAAATAAAAATTGCATATCCTGGTAAACATATAAATATCCAAATTTTAATTTTAATAAGTGCTAATAAATGCAGTCATTAACAATTTAGAGATACACCTAAGTATTTTTTTTTTAAGTTTAAAGAGAAGAGGAAGTGTGATGATGTGAAAACAATAAACAGCTTTATTGGTTCTGCCTTCATTTCACATACTACTTTTTTAACTTCAGTCTTTGTTCTTTCCCACAGTTGCATTCTGACAGAAGAGGCCACATGAGGAAGTGGGGAAAGAAGAAAAAAAAGAGGACCTTATAGTCTTTTAGTCCTGTTTATACCAGTGTCTGGATTCCAAGTACTCCTGGAGCAAAAAAGGTAAATTTGAAGGAAGATTCATGTCCTGCCCTCTGTGGTAGGACATGAGTGAAGTTCACAGTGACACAGACCCATAACAGATACACTTAGAGCTGCTGTGCAGCTGCTGAACTTGTGTTCTGAGAGTTTCAGGAGTTTATGGTGATATAGTCTGTCTTTATTAATAGCAACTGTTAAATCCTGACATGAAGTGACTGAATCCTAATGACTTACTGAACACCTTGTATGTGTGTGTACAGAGGCACACGTCATTCACCTTGCTGACATTCACTTGGCAAGTTCCAAGTTGCATAAAATCTTCTTAGGTGGTGTAGCTTTCAAGATTAGGCTCATTTAAAGAAAAGGCTGATAAAAATTAACATTTAATTTGCCAAGTTAAAAGGTAGGCCTGTGTAAGAGAGAGGGAGAAGGCAGTACTTGTACCATATGCATTTCTCTGTATTTTATGTTAGTCACTAGTGCATACTGTCCTGTTCTAAGTTCATTATTCCAGTTGTTCACCAAAAGTTTGTATATTTAGATTTGCAGGTGGAATAAGCTAAAATGCCAAAGGTAATCTTAGTTCAGAAAAATACAGGACCATCATATTCAACTCACACACTGTTTTTTCTTAAAGGCAAAACTTAGAAGCTACTGTAGAATCCAAACCCCCAAGAATCCATACCATAACTGGATAAATGCCAGAATTCTCATGGGTAAAAAAGCACCAGGCACATCATCAAGATAAGCCCAAAAATAAGATCCAAAAATATGCTTTCAGGGTACAGAGTTATGTGTCAACCTTAGAAAAACCTTGAGAGGTGTCTGGAATTCACTGGGACAATTAAAAACTCATCTGCTACAGAACGGGTTAAATGTATCTGTTTCAGCCCACACGGTGCCAGCTGGACTCTTTCCCTCACTCTGCCATAACACATTGGTTTCTCCACTTCACAGTGAACATCTTTTCCAACAGCTGTGTGCCACACACTGGCTTTTGGAAGCTTTGACTCTCAAATCCAACAGTTTGATGCATTCCAAAATAACCCATTGGAATCCAAGGTGAAGGAATGAGGAGTGGGGGATCTCTTGTCCTTTGGATGTTGTTATTTCTCTTCTTTCAAGCAATAACTCTTTCAGTGAAATGTTATTAATTCTGTGCCATGCAACACAGACAAATTTTGGATTTTCTTTGTCCCCACACAGTCAGCAGGGAGTTGTACAGTCAAATCAGCAGCACAGCATCATCCTCTGTTACTGCAGGTTGCAGAACTAGGAGAAAATACTGAGCTATCCCAGCCAAATTTAATTGTATTTTCTTTCCTTTTTCTCTTTTTGTTGATAATTCTATAGTAACAGATACATGCATATTCCTACAGCCTTCCCCTGGAGGGTTATCCCAGTGAACTCAACAGGAATCCCATATATAGTATCATTACAGAACAAAGCCAGCTATTAAGTGATATTTAGTAGCTGATTGTATTCTATCAATTATGTATGACAGTGATGGGTATTTGTAAAACAATGTGTTGCTTCTGAACCCTTATACTGTTAAAAATAAATAGTAATTTAAGTTTCCAACATTTTTTGGTGGATATAATCATGTTGGCATAACATGGCTTTAAATTATTCATGAGTTTTGTTTGGTAAAGCAGTTGAACAGTTCATGCTCTGATTTGCAGGGCAAAGCTCTTCCAAGCTCTTCTGTTTTCCTCTGGATTCTCAGTCAAGGCAAACTGTGTCTGTGTCTAACAGAGGTGGCAGAACAGCAATATATAGAATTAGTCTGATAAATTGGAGTAGAGAACTAGTACAGTACGTGTGGTGAGTGGCTTTTTCATCCCTTTACATACAAGGACCAACCAATAGAGAGTTGGTCAGTAAGTCTCTCAGACACAGGCTGGCAGCAGAGTGTAACTGTTTAGCTTAGGGGGTTCTGTTTAACTTACTCTGTTCCTCCTACTCATCCCTCAGTGATTACCTGCACTTAATAGATCTGACAGAGTAATTTATCTGTTGGATCTCCAATGTGGTTCAGTACAAAGCTGGGTAATCTTCAGTCTTTTCACTTCCTTCCAAGTAAAACTGGACCAGAAAAGCACGTTAGCATTTAGTACTGCTAATTACCTTTTAATTGACATTTGTATTATCATTATTAGGCTGATATCATGCTCTGCTACACTCTAAATTCCCACTTAAGAAGGAGCTCTTGGAATCATTTGGGAGAGTTTGGTGAATGTTTAGTAGCTATCAAAAAGGCAAGAAAAATCCGAAGAATGATGTGGAAGCCAGAGCAGAAAGCATGTCATGCAAAAATACAAATATTTTATAAGTGCTTCTTGAGTTTCTGTCCGTCCTATTCAGCCAGGCTGATGCCACAAGTGATAAAGTTTGACTGAACAAAAGTGCTGAGGGATGGTAGAGATATGGAATGGCTTCCACACGAGAACAATTAAATAGGTTGAGGCTCTTCAGGACAGGAAAGAAATGTCTGGAGACAATGTTATGACAGATCTCTGTAACATCATGAAGTGCATGGAAAAAAGGTGATTTGAGAGTGGTTATTCACAGGTTCCCTTGACACCAGATTTATGGCACACCAAATTAAATTATCTGGCAGAAAATTTAAAGCAATGGGAAGTGTTTTCAAGCAATGCATAATTAAACTTAAGAATTTATTGCTATGATATATTGCTGGAAGTATATTCAAGTGCAAAAGCAATTTAAGAGAATAGAATAAAAAACAATTAACTGCTCCTAAATGTAAAGGAAAGGACACATTCTCTGTGTCTGAAGGACCTTTAGGTTCAGACTGCCAGAGGCTGAGGGGGTATATGAGGAAGCTTGAGATAATATCATATACTACCTACACAGCTGCTGCTGAGCACTGATGAACGGGAGCAGTGGAGGATTCAAAGCTATAATTTCAAGCAATTTGTTTACAGATGTAGGTGAACAATTGGTTTGTGTGTGAGATGAGATCTGAAAAACAATCTTGAGAGCTGTGACAGCTGGGAGCCTCCATTCACTGCCAGAAAATAAAGAGATATCTTGTGTAATATATGGGAAGGGTGTTCAGTGCACCCTTTAGAACATCTATCACATGACTGCTGTGATTTCAGGGGACTGGCCTGAGTTACAAATCTGGACCTCTCAAGGGTTATGCTCCTAACTCTGAAAAATATGGGGAGTTACTTTCTGCAGGGCAGCTCTGTAGCAAAGGTTGGATTCTGTAATGAATTCTGAAGCTGCTCAAATCATGTTTAATCCAGGACTCTGATCACAGGATGCTTCACAGACAAATCAGAAATGGATTACCAGTGCAGCTGCCTTGTATCCCTGCACCCTAAATTCACAAAGCTTCGTGTAACTCATACAGACATAATTTTGAAAGCACACACAACCCTAACCCACAGGTACCCATATTTATATTTCAAAAGTGGGAAAGGGATTCTGTAGAGGCAGCTGATCAGTAGACAAAACTGAGTGTGGCTCTTCCAGAAAGATTTCTTTTAAGAAAAGAATTCATGACTCAGTATAAAGCCTTTTGTCCAATGGCAGTTTTGCTGTAGAATGTTTGCTTATACAGATTAGAACTTTCAGTGCTGTTGGCTAAGTGAGGACCTGTATTAGTGCAAAGGTTTAAATGTTTCATCATGTTGACAAAGGCAAATGTTGAAGCTGCAGCTGTGGTGTAACACCAGGTCACTGCTGAGGTAGTCTCATTTATCATTTGGCCCCCACCTAATCAGTCAAAGGTTTCACAAAGCAGATTAGAGTACAAAATGTAAGCCTAATTTTTCATGGTTACCGTGTAATGAATAATGTGTGCGTGTAGATCAGCTCAGATGACATACATTTTCTTCACAATGAGAAGGAGACTTCCTGAATGAGAGATTAAAAACTAACTGGATTTTAGCCCCAAAGCTTTCCAGCCAGCAGTTTAGCTCTCACAGAGTAGGTATAAATATTCTGCAAAGGATCTTCATTATAAGATTTATTCCTGAATTTGGGGCTTTTCTTTGATATTTATCAATGCCTCTTCAACTGATTTACCATTTTTAGATCCCTGAAGAACAGATAAATATTAGTACCCTGCAGATGATTAACTAAAGGATAGGAATCAAGGTCAGGTGAAATTACTAAATCCTTCTTTGCTTTTTTCTCTTTTCTAATTATTGTCTGACTAGCTCACAGCTATGGAGGTTATATTTCAAAAATATCACTAATAAAGACAAACTTGATTATTTGTTTTCACTATTTCTGCAGATGGAGAACTGGAACAGGTTTTAAGGCTGCAAAATAGAGGGCTCAGTGCTAGAACTTTGGAATTTCTGACTGGGTCCTTGGCACTCTTGAAACTCTCCAGGCCACAGGTAATAGAGGATATTCATTATAAGCATGGGGGTTTTTTAAATATTAGCCCTTTAGCAGGTGCCCAGCAACTTCTTACTTCCATATCTTATAAATTCCTTTACAATTCACAGTGCAGCATTCCAAATCTGACTTTTAAGAAGTATCTTGTGCTGCTATTTAATACAGTCACCATCCAGCAATCATTTTGTGTTCTGCTGTATGCAGCGCTTCACGAAAATGTAGAAAAAGGACCTTTTGCATTTGGGGATTACGACTTCATGGGTGCTGAGCGCTCAGTAAAATGTCACTTATTACCATGTAGGACATCTGAGCACCTTGGAGGATGGCTTAGACTGTGACAGCTAACACTGGGGTTTTTAATAACGAGCGTGACAGGTGTTTTACTGCATGAGTGATTGGAGGGAACAGTGCAGAGGAGATGAGTGTCAGTGCCTCTCCAGGGGTTTGGCAGCAAAGCCAGAACGAAGCAGCAGTGGGAAGGACAACAAAGATGTTAATTTGAAGGAAAACAGTGAGTTAAATTGACTTTCAAGGGAGAGGAGAATAAAAGCATTCACTTTACAGTAGCAGGCGAAGAGTAAAGAGTGTTATTAGTGAGAGATGTGCTCAAAGGTGGGTAGTCTGGAAACTGCAGCCAATGAAGGGCCACTTGAGGACATGTCTGAAGTGGTAGTGGATGCTGATAAGGAGACACAGAGAGGTAATTAGATACCTGTTGATGTTAAATGTATTAAATTCCATATGACATTTAAAAGAAGAATGGCAAAGTGATAGAATAGACTTAGAAATTCAGAAAAATTGAGTTATGCCACTGGAATGCAAACAGCACAGCATGGACACTGAAAACAGACTTTCTGCGTAGTTTATTCAAATCTACTTGATTTTCTAATACATGTAAAAAATATTTGTATCTTCTATTTGATGGTTGGGGTTTTTTTCACAGCTTAATTAACAAAGCTTAGATTTTCAAAAGTGATTAATTAATTGGCTGCATTTGGACTTGGGTACCTATCTTGAAACCTCTTTAAAAAGCTGCTTTTCTTGGAAGAAACTCTAATTTTCAGAAATACTAAATAACAGGTTTCTTTAGGATGCCTCATGCAGGCCAGCATATATGGAGCAATATCTGCAAAGGAGAGAGGAATGCACTAGTGAGTTGGCAAGTTTTTACAGAATTTTTTTAACAGCCCTACAGAAAGTCAGCACAGGTAAAATGTGAAGAGGAGTCAAAAGGTGTCCATAAACAAAAAGAGATTGTTAAGAAGATTGGACTGCAGGTACGTTACCTGATGGGTTTCTGAATGACAAGGGGAAGCAACTCATCAGAAAAGAGCTGATGCTTTTTTTTTTTCCTCCTTTTCTTTTTATTCTTTTTCTCCCCAAACAACTGAATTCAGCATTCAGTAAATTCAGATAACATATACATTTTTTTTGCATGGGTGGCAGCATAACCATTTTACTGCTGTGCAAGCAGTATGTACTTTCTGGAAAACACCCCCATAAATCTTGCCTTTGCAAACAGAAGAGATCCTATGCTCCAGCAGCTCTGTGGAAAAAGCAGTGTTCTGTCTTATTCCAGTAGAATTGTTTCTGTTTCTACCACTGCATTTTTCTGTAGTCTCTGTTTACCATTTCCAGCCAACATTAGATGTGTTCCCTCATTACTCAGCTCTGTGGTGGTTTCCACAGCTCTAAGATCAATATGACAAACCATTCTTACAGTCAGACTTTGCTGAAGCATTTTTTTTTCCTCTGAACTGAGGTCAAGAGAAATAAATTTTGTACCTGGATAACCCCATCAAGTCTGTAATATTAAGAATGTTTTTTCAGCACCTGTGGAATGTTTCACATTCGGGAAAAGGCACACTGTACATTAATTTAAACCTTGTTATGTCTTACAGTTTGTTGCCAGTGGCTCAGAAGAACTACAGAGTAAACATGCCTTTCATTAAAGACCAAAAGAGTATAATATCAAGGAAGCAGAGGCCCAGAAGGCAGGGTAAGGGTACAAAACTGGTTTTTAAGCACAGTACATGCTGTATAAACTCAGCACTCTCTATGCAAAGCACTTGGCATGCAAATGTCAAGGAACATTTTATTACACGAGAGCAGAGCAGGCCACTGAAACCTTGCAGCACATTTAGTACATGTCAGAGCAATTTGAAGGCACTATCCTGGAAGGATGTGATGGAATGAAAGATGATAAAACCCCAAATTCAATATCATTTACCATTTTTAAATCCATCAAATTATTTTAAAAATTGAGTTTAAAAGCCCAGCTGTACATTGTATTAAATTTGGATTTTTGATGAGAGTAAGGAGATCTCAAGATTTTCATGGGCTCACATTGCTGTATGTTCTGAGCAACACAGGTGTTTGCCACAAAATGGTAACCGCAGGATGTTAATTCCGGCTTTCTCTCTTGCTTTATTTGCAGCTGCCATATCAGCTCTTTCATTAAAAGCAAATCTAACTCGTGTGCTGATATGAGGCAAAAGTTCCAGCAGAACATGAAGAAACAGCTTGTTCTTTATGTGACACCCTCGTGAGCCTCGAGAGGTAGGAAAAGACTCTTTTCCTGTGTACTCTTAAAACACAACCCACCTTACTGCTGACCAGATTTAGGACTTGTCTTCAGACCCTTTAAAGATGCATTTATTTGTCTTGGCATTCAAATGAGAATACAGGGATGATGATAGACAATTTTGTGACTGCATACAAAAATATATTACAGGTTAAATATTTGCAGCAGTGTTTTGGAATATTTCTGAGCCATCCTTCTGGAAATATACATTGAATATATTTACTTTGGGCATTGTAGTCCTTTTCACCCCAAAAGTTGGATAATAAATTCAGTCCACACGCACTCTGTATGGCTGTTTTGCATTTTCAGTTCAGAGATCACTGCTCTGTTCTTCAGCATTGCTTTGACTCTTCTCACTGTAACAGTTGCAATGTCCTCTCTCAAGGCCTTTTCCCAGATCACTGACATCTCTGCCTTGTTGACCAGCTGAAACCTGTCATCCTTTTCCTCTCACCCAGAAACATTCATCTGTGATCTTGGTGCAAATTCTCGTCTCAGTAGGCACCAGCCCTGAGATCCTTCTTTACTCTGCTGTTCTGAAGGGTGTTTTCTTTCCCCCTCCCACTTCTTCTTTCCATTCTTCTGTTCCATTTTGTACTGAGATTTTTGTCCCCAGAACTTCCCTTGTCTGCAGCCAGGTCCTTGTTTTCTTCCCTGAGCAGCTGCTGTTCCTGCACAAGGAACTAATCATTCCAGCATCCTGCAGCATGGATGGACAAGCTGGATGGAAAGTTACTGTTGCAGCTATTTTAGTATTCTCCATACAGCCACACAAGCACATATCCTATTTGATCAGCATTTGGAGATGAAACCTCAGATTGGCAGGATATAGTATAAATAATTTATTGGAAAGAAAAGCAGATGTTTTTGTTATAACCCAGCAACACTTTTTGTAGCAATGCACACACGAACCCAATCTCTGGGTCAAAATTCTAGCTCAGGTCACCCTATTCCATCTCTCTTCTGTTCTACTTTAATTAATATTTTACCCTAAATCACTGTACAGTATTCTGTTTGGTTTTAAGCATAGAAAGTGGAGGTTGAATTTCAGTTTAAATCAAACTTCAGTTTGATTCTGAAGGTTTTCTTACCTACAGCTTAGAGTTGATATAAAATGTAAACATTTTTAATGTGTTTGTAGAAATATGAATGTATATAGAACACTGCAAAAGCAAAAACTGGTATGAGTGTCCACAGACTGAACATAAAACATGTTCTTCACATTCATGTTTTCTGCCTTCCCTCCTGTCTTCCCTGTTAACTATGCAGCAGTATGATCATGTTTAAAACACAGCTTCAACTTTTAAGTTGGGGGTTTTTTTTGTAGGAGGCAGGAAGAGCAACATTGTCAGAAATACCAGGCTCTGAAACAACTGAAAGAATAATAGAGCTGGGCACGAGATGATGAAGGTGGACTAAACTGGTAAGGAGAGAGAACCTCTCACTGCTTTGGCTTTGCCAACACAGTTTAGCACGTACAGCTCTCCGTGCCAGCCCTGTTCTGCCGAGCGCTGTCTGTGAAGGGTACGGAGCTGAAATCTGTGTTTCTGTTTTAACGAGGCTGGTCACCCCCCTCGTGGAGACACAAAGTCATGGCAGAGCCGTTGCTTTCCCCACAGTACTTGTTTCATTCACAGTAAGGCTGGTTTCTCCATGCTCTTGCAAACTCTGCATGCCAAGAAAGCTGAATCACAGAGGAACACTTTGCTAGTATGTGCTGTCAGTCGAGTTGTCTTGGCTCTCTCATGAAGTGAGAAAAAAACAAACAAACAAATATATGATGTAAGAATACACTGAACAGAGTGAAAAGATACCTTTTCAAGATATCTCAGTGCATGGATGGGTTATAAAAGGCCTGGGTGGGACACAATTACGGTTACTTGGAAAATCTAATGAGTGATAATAAGGATTTGGCTGTACAGCCACACCAGCAGGGTACTGCTGAGCGTGGAACTGGCCCTGCTGAAGATGAGAACCACGTGTTTCTTTTTTTACCGGCTTAAGGAGGAAATTTCTCACCCCCTTCCTGCTGTCCCAGTAACATGTATCCTAAACTGGAGGGAGGCAGCACTTCCTGATGATGTGCTGCCAAATCCTCACCTTTGCAATGAAAGCCACAGCACACCCCAGTCAGGCACAGTCTAGAAAGGTTTGGAACATCAGTCTTCAGGGCTGTCAAAGCAGCACTGCAGAATTTAGACAGAACATTTAAAAAATGGCAGTCTTTTCACAAGAATTTTATTTTTATTGTAATGTGTAATTCTCCTCCTGTATCTCTATATTCAGAGTGAAATGGTAAAGGCTGCACATTACAGTGCACTTACATCAATGAGATTTATGTCAGCACATAGAGAGAGGAGAATGATGATAGCACAGGGAAAAGGCATATTAAGAAGAATCAGAAAGTGTGTCAGATCAGGCACTGATTGCATTGGAAAATCCACAGAGGCTAAACAAAATAAATAGAGAAAATATGAAGAGGACAAATGTGTAGCAAAATGGAAGTATTTGTTGGGATTTTATTATTTCCTTTCATGCCCAAGTTTGTCATCCAAAATTTGATGAATAATGAAGAAGCTCTTATTTCAATGCCCAGCGAAGGGAATTGGTGCTCGAGTCCAATAAAGTAAAGCTCTTTCACATTATTCGTATTAAAGGTCCCTTCCAACCCAAACCATTCTATGATTCACTCGGAATTACGTTGAGTAGTGCATTCCCCAGAGAGCCATTTTTTCTATGGAAGTTATGGAAATGGTGAAGTGGCAGAAATGCCAAACAAACTCAGAGTTATTAATCAGATATTCGTTTGTTCCCAAAGGCTTCTCTTTTATTGCTGTTCTTCTTTCTGCTAAAGGTTTCCTGTATTGCTTGCCAGACTCACTCAGTCTGTGAAGAGTGACTATTTTGTGCAGAAAATCTTAAAGAAAGTGGAAAAATATGGCAAAAATCCTGATTTGAAAATTTACCAGGCATGTTTCTTAAGGTTCTGGCTGATGTACACATGTGGGGAGCTGTGTGATGAGGGTGGGCAGACCAAGGCACCTGTGGGTAAAATTCCTGCACTTGGAAAGTTACCAGGTGAAATCATTTAGGATCTCACTAAATGAAGATGCTACTATTCATTTTTTTACAAGGCACTTTGAACTCTTCAAGAGAAAGACGGTATGACAGCCATTGGTTTATTAATCATTATCATTTTATTATTATGTCATTGTTGATTTATTTACTGCCTCAGTGAAAGTGACACCTGTCATAAATTGTTAGGACACTTGAAGTGAAGCATTAACTTGTGCTCTGAAAAGGCCTGTCCTTCCCAATAGTTACATCCACGAGCTATTTAGGTTATGAATTATGTCCCTGATCCAGGAACTCTGCAGAAATGTTTGTTTTGCTTCAGCAACACTAAAAAAAACCCAACACCTACCTCTCAAGATCTTAAGCTGGGCTCAACTCTTGTAGTTCTAGAAGAAACTGGTAGATGAGGAAGGACATAAGGAAGGCAAGAGAACCCCTTCCAACTCAGAATATTCTGTGACTCTGACATTAGACTTACACACCTCTGTGTAGTGTGACCAGGTAACTAACTTACCAAAATGGCAACGATGCCACCTTGTGTTTTGTGTTCTCATCTCAGTTATTCCTCTGATCTGCAAGACCGAGAGAAGTCTCTCAGAGGCAGCAGGTTATTCTGCATTTTACACATACCAAGTGTTATCTTGCCTTACAAATGCAAAGGTTTAGCACCCAACATGTTGAGATCAGGGTATCTGTACTGTCTTGATGTTTTATAAAAATAAGAATTTTGTCTTGTGCCCTAATTTGCATAGTCACTAACCAGAGAGGCAGCCTTGCTTTAATGTTCAATAGAAAAGTCTCAGTTGCTTGCTGAGTTTAGATCTATTTATTTGCTATTTCCTTTGCATTTTGATCCTTCATATTTGTGCAACAGTAATAGAGGAAAAACATGTGAGCATACCTGAATCTCCTGTCTGTTTCTTTATACACCCTTCAAAAATAGCCACAGAGGAAGGAGGACCTTGGTGCTCCTTCTGACAGGAATAGATGAAAGAAAGTGTTGTGTTTTAGAAGGAGCAGCATCACTGAATATGATCTGGCTGAGATTCCAGATGAAGTTCTTATTTAACTCCAAATTGTTTTAATGTAAGTGCCTTGATGGTAGGTAGAAGACAGATGCAGGTTTAAAACACAAAGACTTGACTTGGAAGGATTCAGGATATAAATTGCAATGAAAATTGTAGGATTTTCCTTTTAGTTCATTTTAGAGCATATCCAACGCTCTGAATGTTTTGGTGACACGAAGCACTACACTGTTTGCAAAAGCCATTATATTTGGTCTGTTGTCACAATGGTCAAATTTTCCCACATGTTATCTTTCTCTTACACATAAATCAAAAGCTCAGGAAAGAACCTTTTTTTGTTTCAGTTTGTACATGAAAGTACTGTGCAGATGCCAGCAGAGGTTTTCAGTGAGTGGTTTCAGATGAGTAGCACAGTCCTTCACCTCTTAATCACAGGTCAGGTAATTTCTTCAGACATTCCTCTAACAATACCTACAGTATAACAAGCATCTACTCAGCACAGATATACTGATTTCCATGTCTAAATATCATTGTCTCTATCTGCTCTTCATTTTAGATCTCCTTTATGAAAAACAGCCCAAGCACAGGGTAGTTTTAAGCTTTAAGACAAATCTTTTTTTTTTTGCATTAATTCTTTCTATTGTAATTCAGATGTTTTATTTTTGCATTGAGTTTATCCTGTAGTTACTGTATGATTATGGATTAATTCTTGCCTTATTAAAATCAGTGCTGAAAAGCCAAGCATCCTTAGGCACATTTCTCAGGTTTCCAGCTGAAGATACGTTTTCCCCTCATTACCTCAGCATATGTTTGCCATTACTGTGCAGGGTAAGACAGTAGAATGACACCCCTGAACTCACAGACAGTGATAAATATGTGATGTTTGTGAACCTGTCTGGGCTCAGCCACGTATTTCCTGGTGGGTCACAATTGCTGGGTGATGGAATTGGTGACCCAGTGACCTTCTAAGCTGATGATCTTACTGAGCTGCTTCCCTGCCTGTCAAAGCTTCCAGAGGACCCACTGGGGAGAAATGCTGTTGATCCTTCCGCCACAATAAGGGGAAACAATGCCAGCTTAGGGTCCAGGTGGGTAGAGTGACCACTGATGAGTAATATGTTATTGATTAATGGCCTCATTTTGTCTCCCCTCAATATCAAGAGGTAATTGTTTTTCAGTGAAAAGAGCCAGATTTTTTTGACTTACAGACATAAGAAAAAAGTAAGCTCTTAAAGTTCTGTTGTGCTCCTGCTTTTCTCAGTCTATCTGTGGCAGTGATAACTTAGCATTTGTACAAGTAGTGAAGCCATATTTTCCTCTCTCTATGCTTTTCTTGTCCTCCATCTCAAAATCCAGTGAAAAACTTCTCTCCAAAAGCTCTGGAGGGCTGACCTAGTGCCCAGAGAAATAAGTGGCAGTGCTTCTGCCAGAGGAGCAGGATGAAGTCTTGTTCTGACCTCAGAGACCTCAAGTGCACTGTTCACTGTATTCTTCCATTTCTTTTAGCTTCCTTGCAGCCCTCTGTGGGTTTTGAGAGACTCCAGTTCTCCACTTCTTTGGGATCATATCACCATGATCTGAGTCAAGTTTCATTGTCAGCGCTGTTGTGTTACCCTGTGGCAAACAAAAAGAAAACTTAGCAGCTCGGGAGCTCCTGGTGGAACTGTGGTTACACAGGGTGGAACCTTCATCTTGGTCCTTCCTCCCTCTGTGGAACTGCAGAGAGAAGGTTGTGAAATTTCCTTACGTCCAAGAAACAGGAACAAAGGGGTTTGTCCTCAGCTGGAGTGCATGAGCCATGAAGCCAAAATCCAAACTTTATACCAGCCAAGCATGTGACCTAATGTGTCTGCCCTCATGTAAGATGAGATGATTGTGCTAAATGTAATTAGCTAATGTCTGAGCAGCTCTCTGAGCTCCCAAAGCAGGATGCCAGTGTGAATGTTAGGAGTCTGTAATGTTTTCATGGGATTATGAAATATCCTATGTATGCTTTTGTTTTATGATGGCTCTTGTCTCTCCTATTGCCACCAGGTAACAAGGAGTTTCTCCTCTAAGAAGAAAATAGATTGTCTTTTTTTTTTCTCCAGCATCAGCCTAATGAAAAAAAATTCTGCTTCTTTTATTCTGAAGTGGCAAAGAGCTCCTCTGGAGAAAATAGCAGCTTTCCTTTTCCTGCTTCCTGACAAGCAGTTTCCTCAGGCAAGATCCTCAGCCCTGCTCAAGTCTTTGCCAACTTAAAGGACTAAAACAAAACAAAGAGGTGTTAGGTCCATACTGAGGTAAAAGAGGACTTGAGGTTTTTAAATTTCTAAGGTTTTTTTCCTGCAGATATCTTGGATTCTCCCAAATACTTCCACAAACAATCTCACAGTCTCAGAATTGCTGCTTCAATACACCCTTGCAGGGTAGGTTCAGAGTAACCCATTTAACACACGGAGATGGGTGCACCAAGAGTCCAAGCAACTTGCTGAAGGTCTCCAGAGTGTGGTAGAGCTGCTTGGACCAGTGTTCTCTCTGCTCATCTTCCCATTCTGTTCTGGTCCTCTAAATTTCAGCTAATGGGCCAGTCATTCACAAATGTATTAGCCAAAACAAGCCACACGAGCTTGGGTTGGTCACTTGCTTCATGCTCTGGAGTGGATGTCTGGGGGATTCAGACACTGAACTTGGAGATTCTTGATCCTGTTTCCTGCTGCCTGATGTGTTCCCAGTGCCATCCAAGCCCCACACACCTCAGGTGAAGCTGAGATAAGAACATTTTGCTGGGTGTCACTGGTAGCAGGGCAGAAAGTTATGGTTGCTTGAGAATTGCTTGGATATTAGGCTAGAAATTGTTACAGGAAGACTCGTCAATTAGAAGAGTGAATGATGCCTCTTTCACCATTCACTCTTCCCTTCCGCTTCACAGTGGTTCTGGAATTGTCATCTCCACTCTCTTCTTGTAGGAAAGCTTTCAGCATTGTGGAAAAGAAGCCAATCATCCTATTATATCAACAACAATAGTCCCACTCTGTTTTATATTGGACGTAAAAAGCAACATCTTATAAATAGGGATTATAAAATAAACATCTCTGTCTTTCTTGGAAATAGGCTGTTTTATTGTAAAGAAATGTCACACTCATTGTAGGGGTATTCAGAAATTGAGGTACATGTTCCCAACTGGAATTTCAGCTTTACATATCACCCTTTTATTCTTCTGTCCTGTAAATTAAGACCACACCAGCATGATAAAGAGATGAAATTATATTTAGCCCTGCACACTAATAACAGCAATTATTTCTGCTAAATTTTGATAAATACCACTGTTGTGGCATTGCAGAAGATAAAAACCCAGCCTAACAAACCCCAGGATATTTGGGATAAGCTCCAGCTTCTATCAAGGTCAGTGGAAAGATTGTTATCGACCCTGCTGAGTGTTGATGACTGTAAAATCAGAACAGGTTGTTATTACAAATGCCATGGCTGATCTTGTGACCAGCAAAATAAGAGTCCAATTCCCAGTAGGAAAACTGACCAACCACCAAAAGAAAGTGGTCGAAGAGAGAAAAAGATGTGACCAAACATAGCTGGGAAGAATTCTCAGATGCCTCAACCTTAATTTCCCTAATTTTGTATCATAAACAGCTGATCACAAGAAGCTGAGAGGACATACCAGGGCCTGAAGCACCCTGAAATCACCCTTCTTAATCATCTGTGACTGGCCAGCATCAAAAAAGGGATGTAGATGCATTTTGGTCTACTTGATGTTTGTGTTTCATGACAAAATTGGAGAGGGAGGGAAAAGTTGAGATGGCTGAATAACAGTCCAACAAACCAGTGTCATTGTAGCATGTTTGAAGTTGTATTTCTCTGTTCATCAGGGTAACAGGAAGCAGAGAGGATGTTAATTCAGGAGCCCTCTCAACAGTGAGGGCAAGGAATGCTCTTTTATGCCATGCCAGGAGGGCAGGGACACAGCAGCATTCAGCCCATTGAACCAGCCTCTGAGTTCCATGTTCTGAGGGACCACCACAGCCCACTGGGACTCTCTTTGGTGGTAAGTGGCCATTTTCTTACTGAAGTGAGTAAGAAAGTCAGATCCTAGATTATTCTGCAGCCAAGAAGGGAATTAAAGGGTGTATTCTGAAATAAAGGCTGTATTCCACTGGAGGCACAGCAAACTCAAAACTAACTCCTTCCCATCAGAACACGCCTTCCAGAGGAGCTGGCATGCTCCAGCTACACAGATCTCCTGCAGGCTTTGGACTGGTGACTGCATCAGCCCCACACAATAGAATCCTTTTTAGTGGTGTCACTCCTGATTAACAATGTCAGTTCTCAAGATTCTGATTTTCTGTTGTTGAACTAGACTTCTGCAGTGCACTTCACAGGGGCAAGATTAGACCCTGAAGTAGGGGAAGGCTGAAAAAAAGCCTTTTCTCTTTGTTGACTTATCTTTCCCTTCTTTTACCTGGCAAATGGTTGTTTCTTTTCCATGTGATTTATATGTTTTTTTATTAGGGTGGCTGTATTTTAGTACACTACATTGTAAATTACACCCAACTATGTATGATGGATTTAGTCATTGTGCTATAAATTGTGGTGGATTTTTAAAAGAACACGTCATGGTTGACACAACTACAACATCTGATTTATTTCTAGTGCCAGATTACTGTAACAGTCATCAAAACATTGTCTTGCACAGAGAGTTCATTAGAACGTTTCTCAGAATATTCTAGCAAATGTTTGCCTTTCAAAGGCTGCTCTTTTCTACCTATGGTTCTTCAAACCATGTTTACAAAGTAGGGCAGGTTGCAGATAAAGGAAATATGTGTATTCTGTAATGAAAACTTTGCATAAAAAGTGTGGAGGGAAGATTGCAATGTCCAACTGTTCCCATTTGTTGTAGGAAAAGAGGAAAAACTGTGTCCCACATAATCTGAGTGGCTGAGATAAAAATGACAAAAAAGCAAGCTTTTGCTCCTGTAAAAAAAAAAATAGACTTGATTTCTGCAGGCTTATAAAAAGAATCCAGGACATGAGCAGGGAACTTTTTTAAAAGCCCTCTCCAAATTCCACAACAGTGTTACCAGATTTTCTCATGCACAAAGTGTAAAAATAAAACACTGAAATTATTAAACAACACAAAGTAGAATATTTGCATATTTATCAGTCTGACATGCTGGTGTCTGTTCTGCAGCTTGTCCTGGTGTCACAGGACAAAAGTGGACACTGAGTATATACATTTGAACAGTTTTTTTTAGGACTGTGATAAATGTAATGTATCAGTTAGGAAAAAGAATTCTGTCCTGTTATGTTTCCCAGCAGGTTATTTCCTGCTGGGAAACAGGAGGAAACAGAAACAGTCTCAGTTCCTATGTTCTCACTAAATGATCTCCTGAATAACAGTAACCTGAGTCCCAGGCCATGTTCACCAGTGCACTCTGAGCCACTGCAACTGCATTGAAAAAAGCTGGATTTTGGATCAGTCAGATCCAAATTTGATGACTGTTCTAATTACTGTATTTGGGAATCCTTAATGAAAGAAGAGTACGTGTGTATATGTGTGAGAGAAGGAAAGATGGTCCCTTTGGGATGGTACACAATGGGAAAGTGCTAAGTGTATTAAATATTCATAGAACAATTAGTATTCAGCTTATCCCACAAGTTCAGATCTGAGTCCAGATCCAGATCTTCCCTAATGGATGCATTTAACCTTTTGGTTCAGGCCTTATCCTGCCAGTAAGTAACATAATTGACCTCATCCAACCCCAGAACATGCACAACCATGGCTGTGTTTTCCTGTTATTTGTATTGTGGGAAACTGGAGCTGATCCAGAGAAGTCCATGAAGAGATTCCAGACTGACTGTGGAGTGAGAACTAATTGAATTCATTGTCTGCACCAAATACCTTTATTAATAGAATATGAAATAATCTTAAATAATCCCAAAATGTTTTCATAAGCACTTGAATTTATGAAAAATATTCAAAACAGCAATTTTCAGTTATTTGCTAGTACAGATTAGTTTGTAATTTCTTTGATAATACAAATACTCAAGTTGGCAAAATTGTTCAAATTCTTAAACTAACAAATTTGTTACAAATGTTTTCAGGAACTCCTAGAAAATAAATGTTCATTAGTATTTCCAAAAGGCTGAATTTACAGCACTGCATTGCACAGCCACATCTGAAATGAATTCTCATAGCAAGAAATCTGAAAAATGAGATGTCCAGTTTAAAAGAAAGATATAAACAAGAAGGGACCTGCTATTAAACCCCCTGGTAGTAACTCTCCACTTGGATTCTAAAGGAAATTTAACTGAGCTGAGCTCTATTTTCAGAGTGTTAAACTGAGGTAAGATAAATCCTGCTATTTCAGTGCTACCAAGGACTGCTACAACAGCCTGTCTTGCCAGTCACCAGGAGGAAAACTTCCAAGAACATGAACTCATTTGCAGGGAAATGGAACACTGAGATAAAACAAGGGCTCCTCACAGCCCAGCCCAGATCACCCACGGCACTGAGCAGATGCCCATTGCTGTCTGAGCTGCTGTAACAGATCCTTTGATGTTGATATATGACTGAATCAGACAGGTCAGAAGCCAGGAGACAGAATGGAAAAGGACAGACCATGGAAAACATACAAGGACATCTTCCCACATGTTCGAACGCTAGCAGGCTTGCACGGTCGACTTGTTTATTGGCTTCAAATTAGGGTAGTACTTTAGAAGGTTATCAGTGAATGAAAATCTCAGACTATGAAAGAAACTTTCATTTTTATCTGAACATTTCCCTGTTCACATGTTTATTTCCCATGAATAATTTACCAAAGTTAACAGCTCATCACGGATCTCTGATGTTTCCGAAGCCACAGCCCACAGCTGTAGTCCCCAGTGAAAAATGGGAGTATACAGCTGCAAGGGTACAATTGCAAAGTTATGTTTAAGCTAAGGAAGGCATTTCTCTCACAATACCTATTACAGCAGGAGTGTACACTGATCCCAGTGGGAGACTAATGCATCAGCCCCACAGACACTGCTGACTCACAAATGCTCACAGAAATACAATAGCAAAACCAGTCCTGATCCAGAATTCTTAAGGAAGGGAATGTGCATCCTTCCAGTCATTACACTTTCTACTATTTGATATGCCACATATTAAACTCTGTCCACTTCAAAAGCAGGAACAATGAGCCATGCCCCTGTTGTGCCCTAACTAGTTCTATTCTAGAAGAAATGACAGTGATAGGAACAGATTTAGGGAAGGGTCTACATTAATTCTTGAAGTTTGATGTAATGCAAATATATGCAAGTTGGCAAAAAGAAAAAAAAAGCCAACATGAATTTAGCCTTTGATTCCTGAATGCTCTCATTTATTTATGGCAGAGAGTTAAAGGGCAGATATTGACCCTTATCTGTTTCTCATGGGAAAGAAATAATTTTGGTACAAGTAATCTCTGTCTTCTTTATAAGTCCACCCACTACTGTGCCTTTCATAAGAAATCAACATCCAAATTATTCTTGTAACTTCTTGACTACAGTTTTCAGTTAAATAATACAGCAGCTCCCTGTCTTGGGAAAAGTATAACTGTCAGGATATTGAAAATGTATTGAAGACAGCAAACTGAACCTATCTGATTCAATCTCATAAATGAATAACATCTTTGCTAGGCTATCACTGATTCAACTGGAATTTAAGGGCCATCAAGTAAGCTTAGTTTCTGTCTCCTGTATAAAGGGATTTTAGTTTGTCATTATCCAGCACTGCCTGAATGGAATTTATGAACATTCTGTGATACTGTCAATAGACAAACTTACTCCAGAGCTAGGAACAACTGTCTTTGTGACAGCTTATTACAACTGCTTCTTTTGCATAATGTTGACAAATAGTTTGATCCAAATATTCATTTTGAATCCCTAAATGATAGGTAGAGTAAGCAGACCCAGGCAGCCTCCCAAATCTCTCCCTTCTCGTTTCTTTTGATGCTAAAGTAAGTTTAATGCTAAACTAAAGTAAATTTAGTTTACACATGCATCTACCAATTGCTTCTATCTACAAGCTCCACTATATAAACAACATAATCACCTGAACAGCAGCTGAAAGATACCAAAATATCTAAAATCAAAAGCATAATGGCTATTTCCCAAAACCTGCCAGTAAACCTCCATGGTACAGCTGTGTGGGGGCCAACACAATGAATTAGAATAGATTTCATTTTGCACTTCTTGAACCTGTAACAGTCCTGCATTCCTTAGTAGTGCTTAGTCCTTTGCTGTATCTGTTCTGGTCATTAACATAATCTCCATTTTTATCCAAATTTTATGTTGGTTAGTAGTAGTATTTTCATTGCCACCCCACTGAGGCTACTTCTTTATTCCTTATTGTGAGTTACTTTATTCCTTATTCTGAGGCCAGGGCAGAATGTTACACTCACATGAACATTCTGTATTTGTAATAGGAAGTTTCCAAGGAGCAAACCAAATAAGATTAAACAGGATTATCTGAACATCAATAACAACCAGGGCAGCTCTTCTCTTATATCCCCATTCAGGATTCTCTGTAGCTTCTATTCAACTCTAACGGCAACAGAGAATCAAAAATATGGCTTCTCTCTCAACAATAAGCACCAGGTACAGAGTTCTGGTCCAAAACTTGAAAACCCCAATCCGTGGAAGTATTTGGATTTAAAGTCTCAAAAAAAAAAAAGGGGGGGAGGATAGAATGTTTTCTGCAGCTGAAGTTCAGGCACAAGTAAAAAGGACAGTTCACCTCAGTTCACTATAAATAGAGACTTCTAAGCAAAGACCTATCTGTGGAAAGCAAATTTGGACACCAAAATGTACAGAATAAAGGACTGATTTAGCAGTAGACCTGCAAAGATGAAAAGCTGGAGACAGGAGTTCATTTGGCACTGCTGCCTGGGAATAGACAGGGAGTCATTTCCCTCCAGTGGCTGCTTGGGTGACACAGATTTCTTCATAACTTCATAGCACCAAGAACCAATAATGCAGGTCTGTCTTTGTTCCTTCATAGTCACAGTCTCCAACTCGGTGTTGCTGAATGGCCTGACAGTCATGAGGATGAACAGCCAGCAGAGGAAGGGTGTTCCTACACACTTGTTAAGACCAGAATGACCAGGTAAAAAATTGTCTTTGAAAAGAGAGGGGTGGATTAGTTTTCCCTGTAGAATACTTCTGTAGAAGCATTTATGTAAACAAGCTGAAATACTACTTTTTGGAATATGGGAGGCCTCCTCTCGTGTGCAGGTGATCCCCCTTTTGAGGAAAGGGAAGACTCAGAACACTGAACAATGTAACAGCAGTAGCAGTGCTGCTGTGTATACATAGTTTAATACCCACGGGCTTCCTTGTTCCATTTGCAAAACAGAGATGGATTTTACTATCATGACATAGTGTGATGAAGTATATGAAGAACTTTAAATTACTGTGCAATGGATGCAGTATGAAAATATTAGACATTGAATTACTTCATTTCCAGTTCATAGTTTTCTCTTCCCTTGGTATTACAAGGCAGTGAGGTTTGCTGTTCCCTCAGGAAGGATAAAGCATGGCTAAATCCTGGAAGATGCTTGAGAGGATTTTTTTGTTTGGTTAAGTAGAACTCAGTTTGGAGCTTGACATGGCCATTGACTGTTACTGTGACCTCCTTCCCTCAAAGTAGTGTTTAATTCTGAGTGGAGAAAAGTTCCTGTGAACACCTTGTCTGCTGTATTCAGAAAGGTCTGAGTCCATGATATAGCCAGAGAACAAACTGTTCTTGGGAAAAGCATGAAAGTGTTGCTCACAGGTCTCCTTTGCTATTTCTGTAATCCTTTTTTCTGCTTAATAATCCAGAAGGGTTGGAAACAGAAGCGATAATAGTCTGTTGTGTGGCCATACTGAGAAATCATAGGTAATTTGTTTTACAAAGACATTGCACTCCTGGCAAACACTGGGCACACTGTGCTCACTTAAAAATTTTCAGTTACTCTTTCTTTTTTTTTTCTCTAAGAGTAATTGGGAAAGACCAGTGTGCTCATTTTTGCCATAGAGAGAACATCATCTGAAATGTTTGTTGAGTGCCACCAGCTCTGCTGTATAGTGATTGACTGTGCTAATCAAACACAGCCCTATGTAAGGCCAGTTTGGGGACACATTGCCACATGAACTGGGGTCTGGAAATGCTTCCCTCACCCTGCACTGAGCTGGGAAAGCCGAGCCCATCTGACCAGTCTCTCAGGCCAGTACAAGGTCCCACCAGCTCCTTCTGGTGCAACTCTACCCATGAGAAGAGTTTATAGTGCTCAGGATTTGCAGAGACTCTGCTCTTAGTGCTGTGGAGGACCAGTGAGGAAACTCCTTGTATCATGTTGTGTAGACGTACATGTTAGTCTCAAACAACCTCTGAGCATTAAACTACCATTTTTGATCTTTATGTGGACTTTGACTTGTGTGCAGACACTGGAACTTCTTCCCAGAACTGCTGTAGGCCTTTGAGGAGAGTCCTACCAGCAATACAGCAAAGTGTGATGGAGAGCATGTTCTGCCTTGTAAGGAATCCTGCTGTCAAGCCATAGCACTCTCTGAAATCAGGGGAAGAAGACCTTTAAAAAAATATGTATCTTGAAACTGTCACGTCTCCAGCCCATCTGCTTTGCCCATCATGGCAGTAATTTATCCAGCATTTTGCCTTACTCATATTCCTTGGAAAATCACTTCTCTGTGCAGAGCAATCGGTTTCTTTTTCAGGGCTCAGCTTGAAGTGCAAGGCTGTAAGCGGGAATATTGGTACTCTGACTCATTCTCTTGGAGGGCTATTTTTATGATTGTTCATGGAACTACATCTTAAAACTCTCAGTTCGTGTTCTTAAATGATTTTCACAGCTTTCTGCTGAGTCGTCTCAGCACAATGGTTTTCCCCTCTAAAGTTAGAGACTTTCTGAGGTTCTCGGGAATGTAACTACTCTCCATCCCTGCAGCTTGTAAAAGCAAACTATTGGCTGAGTACCTCCTTCTTTTTCTTCACCTCAGTAAGTGGCTCCAAGTCAGTGCTATTTAAAATTTAATCAGTCTTGTCCTAACAGGATATACTTCTTGAATTTTAGTGGTTTATGTAAAAGATAGGTTAAATTCAGCTACACTAACTGCCTCGTGACAGAACCTTTATCTCCAGAACCTCTTAATGAGCTCTCATTAGCACAAATTGCCCCTCAATCTCTCACCACTTCCTATCTCCTGCTTTCTTTGCAATCCATTAGCATCCGTTAGCAGCCTCATTTGAACAATTAAACTTTATTGTTTCCAGAAACACACAAGGACCCCCAGGTTCTTCTATTAGGTCTGTGTCTCAGGGACCTGGGAAGGGAGTCACACGTCCAACTTAACAGAGGCCTACATTATCCTCAGGGAAAAATTTACTGCAGGTTGTTGATGTGACTGGTAACTCCGGAGCACCCTATAAAGGCACTTAAACTAAATGTCTGATGTTAGAGTGCAAGAATCTCCATCCTTTCCTCACACCCGAGGTTCAAGTCTCCCTGGCTGATCTCTGCACAGAACTGTGCCTTCTCCGTGGCGTTGATTCGCCACGGGTTTGTCTTGTGCTTGTTTATGGTCACCATTAATGGCTCAAACTTCCCTAAGTGAGCTGGATGTTCTCATTGGTTCTTATTTGCCTGTGAGTGTTTCAACTACCAGCAGGCAAACTCAAACTCTAAGCCATGACAATGGTCCCCTGACACTGTGCTCGTGGATTAAAGGCTAGAGTGGCCCTGGAAGCTGATCCCTTCCAAAGGGATGGAGTCCATGGACTCTTAACAGTAATTGTATGGTGTGATGTGAACTGTATTTTCTGAGCTTGTCTGCTGACTGTGTTTAAAGCCCCTTGAGAAGAAACAGATCAGAGGTTTTACAGCTACACAGAGTTTGTGCCCGAACACTAACGGCTACGTTGGCAAGCAGGAGGGACTTGGTATTTCTTACTCTTTCCTCAAGATACACCATCTTTTCTTTTGACATTTTGATAGATCAGCAGATTCTCATTCCATGTTATATTCCAGGCATGCAGCTGAGTGATGATTAATGTCTATGAAAGTGAAAATACTGCACCTTTATTTCTTCTGTCTTTACTGTGTTACATTATATCTTGTTTGATGACATCCAGAACTGGGAAACGTGGCTCCATTCAAGTCAATGGCAAAGCTTCCAGTGACAAAAGTGTCTCATTCATAAAGCTGTAAGCACATCTTACTATTTTTTTGTAACTTTAATTAATTAAATGTTCTCAAGAGGAGTCAGACAGAGCAAAATCTCAGCTTCAGCCTTCATCTGATCAGAAGTCTCCATTTTGCTGAAGCTCCACGCAGGTATGAAGTCTTTTTTCTAATATCACATGGCAGAAACAGAGCCTGTTCCTTTCTAAGTGCAGGCTGCCATAGTTTTTCTCACCAACTTGAAAACCATGACGGAAGCAGATCTTTTTTTTTACTTGTTTTGTGGTTGTTAGGGAATTTTTTTCCCCAAATATTAGTGTTTGGAAATAATATTAATTTCTTTGCTCCTTCTTGTGCATCCCCCAAAGTGGATTTCACTTTACAGGTGTTATGTTCGGTAAGGACTGAATCACTTGCTAGAAATTGGCCATAATCCTTTCGATTCGTTATTTTCTGCTAATCTTCAAAGCTTTTCCTAAGTTTAACAAGTCGCTGGAGTTATAGGAGATGGCGGATTCATCCCAGTCCCGAGGAAATGCCTTTTCAGGCTTTACCCCACTTGCTGACGCAGCTCAGACATCGGAAACGCGAGTTTAAGAACGCGGCGGAGTTCTTAAACTCCGGGGCGAGGGGAGCGGGAGAGACTTCTCAAACTCTTCACAGGGGTCATGCAAACTGGCATAAAGTCTTTTAACAGCAAAAAGTTCCAAAAAGTCCGGAACAACCGCAGGCTTTGCGCTCCTCCGGCCGCCGGGGAGCGGGGCAGGGACAGCCCGGGGCTCCCCCGACCCGCCGCAGCCGGGACGCGGCGCTGGGAACTCTCGACGGCTGTTGCTCGGAGTTGGTGTTTTTGCGATCCCCGCCGTGAACTTCGCTCACGAGTTGAAAGCTCCCGCGGTCCCCGCGCCCCGCCCGGCCCCGTCCCGGGGCGGCTCCCTTGGCTCGGCGCCGCGCCGGGTCCCGCCTGCCCGGAGCGCGGCGCTGGGCTTTCCGCGCCGCCCGCCCGCCCGCAGCTCCGCACCGCAGCCCCATGTCCGCGCTCCCCGCCGGCGCCGACATCAAGCGGGCTCTGGAGAACAGCCCCGAGACCAACATCGAGGATGAGCTGCCCGACGAGCCGCCGCAGCCGCGGCCCAAGAACTACTTGCTCCTCAGCATCCTCTCCTGCTTCTGTCCCGCCTATCCCATCAACATCGTCGCCTTCGTCTTCGCCGTCATGGTGAGTAGAGCCCCGATGGGGGTCCAAGCTGGCTTGGCGGGGGGCTCCGCGCTGCCTTGGCCACGGCGTTCCCGGCCGGGGGGGCTGGAGGAGCCGTCCGGGAAAGGGGCATCCAGCCTCCTTTGAACCGCTTGTCCCTGGAGCCTGTGCACAGTGGGGTGAGGCAGCGAGCCTGGGAGCATCAGCAGGCACAGCCAGGGGATCCACCCGAGCTGTCCCACCAGCAGATGGAAAACGTGGAGTGAAAGGCAGTTTCAAACAAGTTTTCACTCTCAGGCTATGGTAAGGGGAAGCAGGTTTATCCCAGTTAATGGGATTTGTTACATCAAATAAGTTGCACGCTGGATTGGACACAGTGTCTGTGTGTGAAAGTGGCAACTGGAGAACAGAAATCAGATTTGGTTTCTGCTTCAGCTAATCAAATATGATAGGAGCACATTTTTTTCCAGTAAACAGGTTCTTTTATACTATTTACTAGAATATTACAACTATAAAGATTGTTGGTTGTCGGCAAAACCCCTTCTAAACTGAGTATCAAATACACTGAGAGAACAGCCTTACTCCTACAAGCTGCAATTGATATGCATATTCTTTAATAATCCAGCAATCCCATTAACTTCAGAAGGATTGTTGGAACAGAACCTCCTTCTCTCAGTGAAAAGTTGCAGAGTCAGATCCAGAGTTTTCTAGTCGTATACATGATCAGTGTTATCAGTAATACTGCAATGTATTTCTGTTGTTTAGGAGCTGAAAAAAGTTTAAAACATGTGTATTTTCATCCTTTTCTCTGACAGGCTGAAAAGGTAAGTATAGTTGTTTCTTTTTGCAATTAAGTGTAAGAATAGTTAACTATGTCTAAAATATCCTAAAGCACGCTCTTTTAAAACTAGTAAGATTGATTAGAAATCACATTGCTTAGGCTTGAAAATGACTTAAAGGAGCTATTCCAAAGCCATCTTCCCAACTATTTTGTGCAGTTAAGTATTAGCTCCCTTTTTTTTCCCCCTTCTGTGTTTGTTTTCTTTGTTGTTACCTTAACTATACAATGTGATCTTTTGGGAAGACTTGGTTCTGCTGGTACCCAGCATCCCTTCTGTCCATGGACACTGAGGGTGCTATATAAAGTAATGAGAGCTGATGATCTGGGGCTGTGAGTGTCTGTTCACTGTGACAGTGCCTTCACCAAGGCACTGGGGCTGCACAGAAGTTATCTGTCAAGGACAGAATTTGGCCTCTCAAGATTTTTGCACCCCATATGGAGAAATCTCCACCCACGGCCTAGTTGAAGTTCACGCAGGCTTTTGGAGTCAGGCATCAGTAACTGTCACCAGGGGATATGTAGAAGCCAGGGTGAGAAGAGCACTTCCTGAATGCTAAACAGTCTGTGCGGGTCTCAGCTGCCCACTCCCTTAGAGGGGGAAACAAAAACCAGACCAGTGACCTCCACTGTCTGTGAAACCCTTCTGTTTCAACAGCACCTCTAACCTGTCCTTTTCCCTAAAAATAACCCACCCAACTTCTTTTCTGATCCCCCTGCCTTTCAGAGCTGCAACCTGTAACTGCTCCATTATCCTCAGCTGCAGGTTCTGCATTTTAGCCTGTGCTGGTTTTATTTCTATTTCTGCTGGGACCTACATCCTCCCTCTCTTTTTCAGATAGAGTTGCTAAGGGTTAATACTGAGATACAAGAGCGGGTTATTTTCTTTTCCTACAGAAGGTACCTTATAGTCTGCAGAGCTTGCCTGAGATCTTGTGTCAGAGATAAAGGCCCATAGAACCAGAGTTCTCTACAAATTTCCACTTCCTAGAATGGGCCTGAAGGGAAAGTCCTATTGGCTTATAGAGGGGCATGGCTCAGCACCCTGTGTACCTGTGTCATGTCCTCCTTAACTGCTCTAAATTCAGACAGTGTTTTCACTCTAAAAGTAGAGTCTAGGCTCTAACACACCCCAAAATAAATGACAGATTTGTCTTCAGTCTCTTCTGCTGCCCCATTTACAACTCCAGCACTGGTTTCCTCACTTCTTTCTCACCTTTGGAGGCACAAACCTTACCGTTACAGATCTTACCTCCTTGACTATATTTTTAGACTAAACCTTTCTCAAGTTCTCCCTATTGCGATAACAACCTTTTCTTGTTCCTTACCTACCTGTTTCTCATGGCAGGGGTCAGAGGACAGCTGGTAGAACGGTCCCTTAATGGCATCAGTAACACACTGTATTGGCATTACAAGAGCAACCCCCTCAAACGAGTCCCTGGTCACTTGGAGGTGTGAGGATTGCTCGGCATGTTTAGCAAATGGAGTTCTGTTTTCCTCAGGGACCTGACCAGAACTCCTGGCTGTAGGATCACTGTTCTCAGTGCTCCTCTGTGGTTCCAGCCAGATGCCATCCATTCTGCTTCTTCTTGTTTCCAGCAGCTCTATTTGCATTGCTGTACCATTAGTTGGCTCGCTCTACCCCAGAGGTGCCTCGCTCAGACTTACCCTGTTCTTACATAGGTGAAAGGCATCAGGGGCAGTAGTGTGGGGGAGGTACCAAGTCAGGAGCTTATGTGACAGAAGAGACTTCTCTGGTGGCTAGGCAGGGTGTCCCTGAGCACTTTGGCTCCTTATCTGCAGCGGTGTCTTGTCCCCTATGGTGAACCCAAGGAGCGCTCGGCTGGCAGTGAACTGCCAGTTGTGTCTGTGAGCTGGCTCGTGTGGACTGGCTGGATCTGACTCATGGGATCAGAGCTAGAGGGAGACTGTGGGACAACTCTGAGAAATGAATTGGATATTTCCAATACCAGCACTGAGGTCTGACAGTTGAACATGTTTTGTTGGATTTTCTCAGTATGCCTCGTTCAGTTGTCTTTATTTCAAAGATCTGTATGTCAGACTAGCCATCTAATTCCATAGGGCCTTGGATTTGTAACAACTTACAAACAGTCTCTCAAAAGCTATTTCTCACTGATTTTTGCTCCTAACTGTCTCTTTATGTTGACACATTTTTGTTTAATCATTTACATGCTTCAAACAACATATGTGGTCAAGCTGTGACAATCTTGGCTCATCTGCCTCTGATAGTAACAAGTTCTTTTTTCTGCATTTGTTGCTGTTGGATTCAGATGCTTTGTCTGTACATGAGTTTCCTTAAGCAGAGACAATGAACGAGGGGGTGGTAGAAGTCATGGGACAGCAAAGGATGGGACTTACTTTCTGAGGGAGTCACCTCTTCTAATTGGCATCCTAACAAACCACATACAGTGTGTTGGCTTTGGTCAGGTCAGTGACTAGCAGAGTGACCAGTGTGCCTGTAGTTAGTAAGTTTATTTCCAAAGTTTATTATTTATACATCTTTTTTTTTAAGTAGCTTGTAGGTACCTGGACATCTAACACTGTGTGGGACAGCCTGTACCTACTTCAGGAATATTAAAGAACAGGGCTCAGCACCTGTTTTTAGGCATTTTTACATGGCCCTTATCTTTGAAAACTGGCAAGTTTTTCCTCTGCAACAGCCTGCAGAACCAACACCCCTTTCATGTGTCCTGCTCAGCACCTGCCTGTTTTGTTTGCCAAAAAGCAGAGATCAAGCCTGGTTCTGAATTGCTCCCCAAGTCCCCCCTCTTCTTTCTCTTTCCCTGGAAGCTTTCTTACACTGAGGAGTCACACTGAGTCAGCACATCTCACTCTTCCTTAGGACTGAACTAGAGAGTGTCTCGTTTCCAGGCACAGCCAAATAAGGTTCACACAGCCTGGCTTATAGAGCTTAGAAAATGCTGATCAGAGAACCTCAGTCTGGTCTGCCCAGACTTGTGAGAGAGGTAGAGGAGGGTTTCTGAAGTAATTCAGTGTTCTTTCTGGTTTTGCCATGATCAGTGCTCTGGGAATGTGGAACAGAAAACATATGTAAAAAGGGATTAGAAGTTTATAGCTAATTCATCAAATTTCTGTTTACATGAGGTTAAGTTACTTTATCATTGAACTGAGAATATATTTTATAAATAGATGTGTGTGAACCTGGTGAAGTCACTGAGATTACTCAAGTAAATTAACAGCTGCAGAACTGTGACTTTAATTTAGTTTATGACTTCATAGGGAGCGAGGTAGCAGAAATCTGAGAAATCAGATGGTATTAGGTTGAAAAGGGCTGAAATTTGTTTCAAAAGTTGGACAGACCACATGTCTCATACAGATGCTGTATTCTCAATATATATATATTTCCCTTGGAAATAAAACAGATATGATATTTAAGGCTTAAACAGTTAATGTTATCTATGTCTAATGTGTAAAACTGGAAGCTTGACCAGGAACCCTTTGAAGCAGATGGAAGTAAATGAAGTTCAAAAAGCTTTGTGTCAGACCCCAGCCACTCCCCCAAACCTCTTATTTGTTCATGAATGTCATATAAGTTATTTCATTTAATTTAAACCTTTTCATAAGGAAACTTTTGTCTCCTTCCTGTCTCTCCCAAATCCTATTCTGTATTGTTAATGCTGTTTTCCTCCTCTTCATCGTGGATTTGTATTAAAACACCATTATTTATTAAAGTTTGCATAGTGAATTATTTATGCAGTACCTGCAGAAATCACATGGACATTTTCCAGACTTCCCAAATACATTAGTAAAATGGCACAGAACTGCAAGCTGGTGCTGTGACATCTTGCTTACAACTCTGTCTCAGTTTTGAGACCTCATGTCTGGGGGACCGAGTTTAGGCTTTTTGCAGGA